GCAGTTTTCACCTTCGACTTCTTCGGTCTTGATGTGACAATTAACATCTCTGTTAATATACTAAGACGGTTCAACGTTCCTAATGAACTCAGGCTGGGATCAAAGTTCAGCAGCAGAGCTGAAGTTGATGCTGCGTCCCCGTCGCCATCAAACCATGGCATCCCCTGAAGGAGTAAATTAGAGACACTGATGCAACATGTTGAAAATATACATTTGGACGGGACTAAGTTGAAATTTGTTGGAACGATAGGCGGAAATATCTTGGTGACAAAGGTCAGCAAGGCGTCAGCTTTTTTTTAGGAATGCTTTTGATTAATCAGGACAATAATAAAGCACAGAGGTTAAAGGTGACTCGAGCAGTTTTAGAGGCCATGCATGTCTGATGAGATTTTTAAATGACTTTCAAAGTCATATTTTGACACCTTTTCTCCCCCCCCCCCCCTCCTCTCTGACACACAGTTGGCAGCTTTTTATTAAAAAATGTTCCGATTTCAGGCTGAGTAATCAAATTTGCCTCACTTTCATCAGCGTCACTGAGAAATGTGATATATATTTTATTTAAATAAGGAATTTCAGATAGGTCCACAAAACAGTGATGGACACAATCGAGATGGGGGTCTGCATGAAATAAAGAAAGAGAGGGAGAGGGGGAGAGAGGGAAGGTACCCTGGGTATTCGGTCATGTGTATTTTGGTCTAAATTTCCAGGGGATATTTTAGATGTTAATAGCCCTGAAGTGGTCTCGGTTTCTTATTTAATTTCTCTCGCCCCTTCTTTAAATGTAATTCGCCCACAGACTTGCGCCGCGAGGCTCTAAACCGCGCAGAAACTCTCTCATCATTTCCACGGCAGAATGGAAAATGCAAATTGTGCGCGCGGGCAATGCCCTTGACAGAACTCACCGCTGCACACAATTAACACGCGCTCTCTGACAGAGGGTGGTGACGAAATGTGAGGTCACCGGCAGGAAAAGGTGTATTATAATTATAATGATTACTATTATTATCATTATTATTATTATTATTATTAAATGCACACGAAATAAAAAAATACATAATGATAATAATAGATTTGGTAGAAAAAAGTGTTTTAATTTAGTTTAATTGTCAGTTTTTCCACTCTTTTTTTAATCAGTATTTTTAATTTGAAATTTATTTATTTTGTTTATTTTTTATTTTTTATTCAAATACCGAAATTAAAAGGTTTGTTTTGGGAGGAAAAAAAAGAGATAAATAAATCAGCATTGAGGTTTATTTAGTCACAACCTCCTCCACATCGACACGATCATCTCAAGTGTAACCAACGAGGGGCGCTGTCCGTCTGTCAGCCAGAACTACTGGACATGGGGGGGGGGGGGGTGTCTACAGATTGATTGATCTCATCACTCGTGCCTACTTGTGTATTTTTACCGCTATAATTAGAAGTAATAATACCAAAAACAATGAAGGCACGGGTTGTGTTTTATTGTGATATTTGACGCGTGAGGCCTCTCATCAAATATCTAAAGTTCTGGAAACAAAGTTTCCCCCTAAAATTGAAGATCCTCACTTTTAATAATGATAAAATAAAATAATAAAAAAAATTAATGAAACAAGTAAGTAAAAACAATATTGAAAGAAGGGAGAAGTATGATCAATAAGTAGCTAAATGTGCATACCGGAGAGTTTTTAATTTTATTACTCTTTATGTAAAATAACAGATTTTATTTACAAATTAAAATATGCAGAAAAGATAGCCCTGATCTTGTTTTTCTTTCATTCATCGTTGCGATCCCACCCCCACCCCCCAAATCTAAATAAATAAATAAATAAACAAGGCGTCGTAATTTAAAGAACGAAATTCACAATCCATTTGAACAAATGATTCATGCTTTGCTACAATATTTATTTACAAAGAGCACGTGAACAATGTGCTGGTTTGGTTGTTGTTGCAGTTGTTGTGGAGTTTGGAGTGATGCGTTCAATGTTCAGCGGATTCGATTCAAATTAAAATCTGGGGAGGAAAAAGAAAACGATTACAAAAACAAAACTCCGTGATGAAGGAGCGCGCGCTTCCTCGGTGCTAATCAGAGTCCTCCTCACCAGCACCAGACACCCCCCCCCCCCCCCCCCCCATCAATCCATTAGGAGAGAGACAATGCAGGTGAGCGCAGTGACAGCGCGCGGACGGACAGCTGGGCAGCGGCCTGGCTGATTGACTCTGCCTTGACATCTGGGGGGCCCGCTGGCCCCTGGCAAGCACGAGGCTCATGTCGCCATTTACATGCAAATTTAGGGAGATCATGAGGGCCTCGCCCCGTAGACTCGCACGCGCGCGCACGCATTGAAAGAAGAGGAAGAAGAAGACGTCACCCGCAGTTGGGTGGAGGCTCGTCCCCTCCGAGACGGGAGGTCTTGGAAGTCACCCTGTACGGTTTTAGATGGGGGGG